CACGCCCAGCTAATTTTTTTGATTTATTGTAGAGATGAGTTCTCGCCAAGTTGCCCAGGCGGGTCTCGAACCCCTGGGCTCAGGCAATCCTCTCGTCTCCACCTCCCCAAATTCTGGGATTACAGGCTGAGCCACCGCACCCGGCCTCTTTTTTTTTAAGTCGGAATCTCACTCTTTTGGCCAGGCTGGATTGCAGTGGCACACTCACGGCCACCGCAGCCTTGACCTGTTGGGCTCAGGCAATACTTCTGCTTCAGCCTTCCAAGTAGCTGGGAACCACACGCAGGCACCACTACACCTGGCTAATTTTTTGATTTATTGTAGAGACAAGGTCTTGCCATGTTGCCCAGGCTGCTCTCGAACCCGTGGTCTCAGGCAGTCCTTTCGCCTTGGCCTCCCAAAGTGCTGGGGTGACAGGTGTGAGCCACTGTGCCCATCTATTATTCTGTTTCATTATTAGGTATTATTGGTCATCTCTCACCGTTCCCAATTTGTAAGTTAAACTTCAAAGGCATGTATGTGTAGAAGAAACCCTAGTACACAGAGCATTCGGTGTTATCGGAGGTTTCAGGCTATTGTACTAAGATCCTAGGCTTATAAGAAAGCATATACATGCATGCACTAAGAGATGGAAGAGTGAATGTACATAAGAAGATTAACAGTGCTGCTCTCTAGTGATAAGGCTTAGGTGGATTTAAGCTTTTTGTTTTTTGAGTCAGGGTCTCACTCTGTTGCCCAGGCTGGAGTGCAGTGGCATGCTCATGGCCACTGCGGCCTCAACCTGCTGGACTTGGGTGATCCTTCCATCTTGCCTTGGAAAGTAGCTGGAACTACAGGCAGGCACCACCACGCCTGGCTACTTTTTTTTATTTATTGTCGAGATAAGGTCTCACCAAGTTGCCCAGGTTGGTCTTGAACCCGTGGGCTCAGGTAATCCTTTGGCCTCGACCTCCCAAAGTGCTGGGATGACAGGCATGAGCCTCCACACCTGACTTCATCTGCTTTACAGAAGCTCAAAAAATGGAAAGAAAAGCTGAGTTTTTCTCTAAATATCTGTTGGGCAGTAGTGATTTTTGAGTCCTCCAAAAAAAGGGAAGAGGTGAGACTTCTTTCGAAAGACTCATTCATGTCAGGTCTTCCTGGCATGATTCTTCCTTTTTCCCTTTCTTCTAATAAACTTTCTCATAAATAAATAAGGAAATGAAAAAGAAAGTCAGTGGCTATGTCTTGGAAAGAGTCAGTAGGGGTCACTTGGCGATTATGACAGTCCACAGGTGGGACCCAGAGACCCCTGCAGGAGAGGCTGGGAGGAAAGGCCTAATATTCAATATGCACCCAGCCAGCTGAGTAAGGGGAGTCTGTGACCTGTAACTGGCCTTATCAGTTCAGGGTCTGTATCCTTAAGGCCCTCCGGCCGTGGAAAAATAGTTCATATGCCGGAGTCCCATTCTCTGCTGATCTGAAGTAGAAGTGACACATAGAGCATCGTGGGAAAGGGACTGGAGCTCAGAGGTTGGTAGGGAAAGATGGAGAGTAATCTTGGTGACATCACAGAAGACTATCTCCAAGCCTTTTTTTTTTTTTTTTTGAGTGGGAGTCTCACTCTGTTGCCCAGGCTGGAGTACGTTGCACACTCCCGGCCACCGCAGCCTCTACCTGCTGGGCTCAGGGGATCCTTCTGCCTCAGCCTTCTGAGTAGCTGGAGCCACAGGCCTGTGCCACCAGACCCGGCTAATTTTTTTATTTATTGTAGAGACGAGGTCTTGCCAAGTTGCCCAGGCTAGTCTCGAACCCTGGGCTCAGGCAATCCTCTGGCCTCCTCCCAAAGTGCTAGGATTACAGGCAGGAGACACCACACCTGGCCAATCTCCAGACCTTAATCTCTTCCATTGTAAACAAAGTGCAGAGGAATTTAGAAGGAAAGTGCTATAATATGCCCACGCACAGAACTGTAAGCACTGCACAAAGACTCCACGTTGATTTTTACAGCATTTTTATGGCAGCCTTCGCCCAAAAGCCCAAAAGCAGTTCAGATTCATCACTGTAACACATAGCCATCAACAGGAATATGGTAGGGCCAGGTGCTGTGGCTCATGCCTGGAATCCCAGTACTTTGGGAGGCCAAGGTGAGAAGATCTCTTGAGCCCAGGAGTTCGAGACCAGCCTTGGCAACCCAGCAAGACCCTGTCTCTCCAAAAAGAATTTTATAATTAGTCAGGCGTGATGACACATGCCTGTAGCCTCACGTACTCGGGAGGCTGAGATGGGAAGATCACTTTAGCCCAGGAGGTCAAGGCTGCAGTGAGCCAGGATCGTTCCACTGCCCTCCAGCTTGGGTGACAGAGTGAGATCCTGTCTCAAAGAAAAACACAAAATTCTTTTTTTTTTTTTTGAGTTGGAGTCTCACTCTGTCACCCAGACTGGAGTGCAGTGGCCGCTCCCGGCCACCGCAGCCTCGACGTGCTGGGCTCCGGCGATCCTTCCGCCTCAGCCTTTCAAGTAGCCGGAATTACAGGCATGCACTACCACGCCTAGCTGATTTTTTTATTTATTGTAGAGATGAGGTCTCACTGCCCAGGCGGGTCTCGAACCCACAGGCTCAGGCGATCCACTCACCTCAGCTTCCCAAAGGCAGGGGATTACAGGCTGAGCCACCGAGCCCGGCTTGTTCTATTTTTTATTTTTATTTTTTGAATTGGAGTTTCACTCTGTCGCCTGGCTAGAGTGCAGTGGCACACTCACGGCCATCACAGCCTTGACCTGCTGGGCTCAGGTGATCCTTCCACCTCAGCCTTCCAAGTAGCTGAAACTATAGGCATGCACCACCACACCTGGCTAATTTTTTGATTTATTGTAGAGATGAGGTCTCACCAAGGTGCCCAGGCTGGTCTCGAACCCGTGGGCTCAGACAATCCTCTCACCACAGCCTCCCAAAATGCTGGTATTATAGGCGTGAGCCACTGCGCCCAGCCGGTTTTATTAGTAGTTACTATTGCTCATGTCTCACTGTGCCTAATTTATAAATTAAAATTCATCACAGGCACGTTATAAAAGAAAACGCAGTACATTGAGGATTCAGTGTTATCTGAGGTTTCAGGCATTGCTTGGGGGTCTTAGAACATACCTACCCCCTTCGGATAAGGGGGTGACCACTGTTCTAAGATCAAGGAAAAGAAAGAAGAGCGTGCACATCCTAACAGATGAAAGGGTGCGTGTATGTAAGAATATTAACAGTGGTTCTCTCTAGCGATGAGATTAAAGTGGATTTAAGTTTTTTGTTTTGTTTTGCTTTTTTCTTTTTTGAATCAGGGTCTCACATTGTTGCCCAGACTGGAGTGCAGTGGCACAATCACGGCTCACCCCAGCCTCCAACTCCTGGGCTCAAGTGAACCTCCTGTATCAGCCTCCTTGAGTAGATGGGACTACAGGCATGCACCACCACACCTGGCCATTCTTTATTTTTTGTAGAAACAAGCTATCGCTACGTTGCCCAGTCTAGGATGTCAGCTTTCTCTTTGTGTTTTAGAAGGGTCCTTGCAATTTTTTATCATGAACATGAGTTACTTTTGGAAGGGAATCAGTCCCATGTAACAAGTGCCATTCCCTGTGCTTCCGTGAGGACTGGGACATACCCAGGTCGTTATGTCATGCAGCATCCCTCAAAAGAAGGTGGGACCCGGGGCGTGTGCCTCACCTTTGGTCTGAAGTCTGAAAAGCGCTGCCACCCTTGTTCTTGCAGGTTACCTCCAAAAGCAGCCCTACTTTGGAGCCGTGGTCGGGAGGGTGGCCAACCGCATTGCCAAGGGCGCCTTCAAGGTAGATGGGAAAGAGTATCACCTGGCCATCAACAAGGAGCCCAACAGCCTCCACGGAGGGGTCCGAGGGTTTGATAAGGTGAGTGGAGACGGGGATGGACACCCTCTTGGCTCACATCACCACGGTCCATGAAGCACACCTTATGTTTCCCAGGCGCAGTCGTGGGCCCCAGAGCACACACGTGGCCAGGGGACATGGGAGGGCATCTACTGCTGTGGGTAGGGGGACAGGTGCGACAGCCACATGCCAGGGCCCACCCTTCTCTAGCTCATCTGCTGTGACGGACAGGGGAGCCCTGAGACAACAGATGTCAGTCCTAGACTCAGGAGAGACAGGGAACGACTTTCTTACAGTGTTGGGGTCAGGAGCTTGATCAAAGCGACATGGATTGATAATACCTCCCTTTTTTTTTTTTGAGTTGGGATCTTACTCTGTTGCTCAAGCTTGAGTACAGAGGCACAATCCTGGCTTACTGCAGCCTCAACCTCCTGGTGTCAGGCAATCCTGCCTCAGCCTCCCAAGTAGCTGGGACTACAGGTATGTGCCGCCACGCCTGGCTAATTTTTTTATTTTCTGTAGGAATGAGGTTTTGCTACGTTACATAGGCTGGTCTCAAATTCCTGGGATCAAGCGATCCTCCCATCTCAGCCACTGAAAGTGCTGGGATTATAGGCATGAGCCACCATGCCTGACCAATACCAACCACTTCTTGCACAAGGCATAGGCATATGTTGTCTCTGACCCTTAGTAGAACCCTGTATTATTACCAAATGGGAAAATAGAGGCCCTAAAAAGCCACAGCCTTTCCTACATGTTAGCTACTAGTGTCCTCTCAAGCTGCATGGGCACACAGTCTAACATACCTTCCTGTACTTGCCATTAAGTTCCCTCCCTATGCAGCCTAGGACCACACCAAGGCCTGCCCTTCTTCTGAGATGCTTCATGCTTCGAAATTACCTCATTCTTGCCCGGACGTGGTGGCTCATGCCTGTAATCCTGGCACTTTGGGAGGCCAGGGCAGGAGGATCACTTGAGGGAAGAAATGTTAGACCAGCCTGGGCAACATACCACAACCCCATCTCTACAGATGAAATTAAAATGAAAAAACCGTCCGGGCTCAGTGACTCAGCCTGTAATCCCAGCACTTTGGGAGGCCGAGGCGAGTGGATTGTGAGCCCGCGGGTTTGAGACCCACCCGGGCAACTTGGCAAGACCTCATCTCGACAATAAATTTTAAAAAATTAGCGGCCGGGCTCGGTGGCTCAGCCTGTAATCCCAGCACTTTGGGAGGCCGAGGTGAGTGGATTGCCTGAGCCCGCGGGTTCGAGACCCGCCTGGGCAGCGAGACCTCATGTCTACAACAAATCAAAAACTAGCCGGGCGTGGTAGCACACGCCTGTAGTCCAGCTACTTGGAAGGCTGAGGCAGAAGGATCACTTAAGCCCAGTAGGTCAAGACTGCAATGATCGTGAGCGTGCCACTGCACTCCAATCTGGGCGACAGAGTGAGACCCCAACTAAAAAAATTAAAAAAAGAAAAAACTTCCCATTCTCCAAGTGAATCCCTGGAAAACAAGGCCAGGAAAGCAAATTGATGAGACAACTTCTCCCCGAGGTGGAATTCCCTGGCCTCCTGCTGCCTCCTCCACGGGAATCAGCAGGCTAACCCTAGTGATTGCTCTCCGCTGTGCATTTTCCTTTAAATGACACCACCCAGGCTATTTGCTAGAGAAGAGCCAGAAGAGACAGGAACATGTCTGGCAGCTCATGGCCACAGTTTCTTCTTTACTGCCTCTGATCGCCTCCTGTCCTGTTGAAGGAGCTTGGTGGCTTGGAGTCCCCTCTAGCCAGCCTCCCATCTGTGGCCTAGAACCAGACTGCCCCGGGTTCCCCTTCCCTCGGGATGGGCCTCCTCATGCCAGGGAAGCAGAGGGGAGTGCCTGCTCTGCCGTGTTGGGTAGGGAGTTTCTAGAACGTGCCAGGTCCAGGGGCAAACCCCAACCGCAGGAAGTAAGGCCCAGCCTGGACAGAGCTGTGCACAGAACCTTGGTCCTGTTTGTTCCCGCTTCCTGTTCCCTGTGGTATGTCCTGTGGTATTGCTTAAGATGTGTTTCCTTTTTGAACAGAAATGGTGAGTATGTGTATAGCGAGGGTACTCGTGGGGTAGGAGGGCTGCGTGTGGGGGTACGCATAGTGAGGGGGGTGTACGTGTAGTGGGGGGTACACGTAGTGGGGAAGGGGTACATGTAGGGAGTATGCATAGCAGGGGAGCACGTAGGGGGAGTTCCCATAGAGGTGGGAGTATACAAACACTTCAATGCAGTGCGCCTGGTGAGCCCCTTCTGTGAACCAGGGAGGACAGCAGACTGGGGACCCCTGAGGCCCCAATATAGAGAGCAAGGTGAACCTCACATAAATAACCATCCTAAGCCATGCTTGGTGGCTCAGCCTGTAATCCCGCGCCTTTGGGAGGCTGAGGTGAGTGGATTGCCTGAGCCCGTGGGTTCGAGACTTGCCTGGGCAACTT